TGGCCCAGGTAGAAGCAGTGAAGCTGATCATTGAGGTGAATTGATGTGATTTCATGCTTTGTTTGCAAGATCACTCAGACCAAAAGTGCAATGAAGACTTTTCTGAAGACCTCCCCCTTTTTTCAGGGAGGGAACCACTGACCAGGTCTCAGCTTGTATGAGTTTCATTTGATGCCTTTGTAAAGCAACTTGACCACTTCTGCGAGGCAGTCAGAAGCACATCTTCTTCTTTTTTATTATTGTTTCTTTGTTTTACAGGATCATCAGAACAAAAGTTCAGCAGCCTTTCCATCCATCTCCTGACGGGACATCACTGTCAGCACCAGGCCATACAATTGGTAAAAAAACAATGGAAGATATACATCTTTACGTGTGTGCCATCAACCTTTTTTTCTTTACAAAACAACCTTCCACTTGACACTTCTTCTTGCGTTCCCCTCAGTACCAAACACAGCGTCTCCACCTGTAACCAGCGCCTCCAACGACCCTGCGGGATCCTACTCCATCAATGGGATTTTGGGTATTCCACGATCCAACGGTGAAAAGAGGAAAAGAGATGACGGTAAGGGAGATTTCCTAAAACAAAGAGAGAGAGCATGAAAAAGTTTCAAGCTGCTTTGTGCTATAAAATCTTTTTTTTTTTTTTTGCTGACCTTGCAATTACAGCGTTAAAACCTGCTTTAGCTCCAGTAGATGACCCTTATAAAACACCTGGGTCTGAACTCTGTTACACTGCTGTGTCAACCTGCCAAAGACTCTTTTGATTTGAAGACACGACCTCCTCTGTTGTCTCCTGCAATTAATCTTTATGGAAGTGATTAAAGGGCTTCAGATAATTACATGTCAAGATGATGTAGCCAACCACCCAGGTCAGTCAAGAAAGCAGCTATAGCTCTGAGGAGAGCTTTTTTTTAACACCCCCTCCTCAACTAAAGTAGCTTCTCTTCTGCTGCTGTTGGTGGATATAAGGAGGCCTGAGGCGATATAGATTATTGGTTCTGTAAGCAATAGGCTTCCCCTAATGTCACAACATAAGAAGCTGATGAGAATAGCTAAACAGATGCACTTGCGTTACAAGGCATGCGCGGGGTGTAGAGGGATGAAAACGAGCAGTTATCTCCAAACCGGGTGGCGGCGGCGGCGGTGGTGGTGGTGGTGGGGAACGAGAGCCTTATTCCTGCACTTCTCTGGAATGAGAGCTAATCAGAGCACGGCAGCAGTTTACATAGCGTCTTCTTTGTTCTGGCGTTTGTCGGGGAAGCACGGGGGTTTTGTGGGATATTGAGTGGAATTGATGTTTTATGTGCGTGCGGGGAGGGAGGGATGACTAATGACCTGTCAGAGGTAGATTTCCTGGCAAAGATATAAAAAACCAGCATGACGTGGACATGGCAAATGACATAATCAAGCCTTCCCCTGTAAGAGATGCAATCACGGGGGCATAATGCAAACGTCTGGTATTTCCGAGGGTTCATTTTCAGTCGTTTGAAGACCTCTCGTATTAACCGGGGTGTAATGTCTAGTCACCGAATGATAAAATGCACACATTTCTATGCAGATTGCTACTGAAGGGCAAAGAGGTATTAAAGGGCGTGGAGTTGGGGAGTGGGGTGGGGGGGATAAGGAATGTGTGTGAGAGAAGGGGAGCCGGACTGTTTTGTGGAGGTCTTCCAGGTGACAGCGCCATGTTTCTACAGCTATTCAGTCTCAAATGATTCCCCTGATGGGTTGCCATCTTTGTGATTTAGGTGCTCGGCCAGCATTACGATGGAAGAGGAGAAACCCCGTGTGTGTTGGTGTGTGGAACGCGTGCAGCCGTGTGTGTGTTTGCGCCAGGTGTGACGGGGGTGGGGGGGGTGGGGGGTTGGTTCTTATGTACTCTCTCAGCAGCCAGCTGGTGCCTACCTGGAACCACAGGGTCACGGATACTTTATCTTTCCCAAACATAAACCTCAGGTCTTGGCCAAGCACGCTCAGACTCAGACGCACACACACACACACACGCACGCACACACACACTCGGCTGCAAAAGCAATGTCTTGCCTCAAGCCACAGTTTGTAAGAATAGTATATTACACTGGATTTTACCCTGTAGACACAATTGTCCTGTCGCTGTCTTCTCTTAAAGGGAACCTCACCAAATAAAGTGGCAGAATGTTAAGATTTAGCTTGCAGTGGGCAGGTTTAGAAGGTGTTTTGCAGTCATACTGTAGGTGCCATATTTTGAGTTTTTTAAGATAAGATAAGATAAGATAAGATAAGATAAGATAAGATAAGATAAGATAAGATAAGATAAGATAAGATAAGA